GAGATGAGCTGTTAACTTCTCTACTTCTGATTCCTATGCTATCGAAGACATTTTTAATTTATTTTAATATTGTATTTTTAATTAGTCTTTAGTTTAATTCTGTTTTAAGGGGAGGGTGGGATTTGGGGATAAGGAAATGTTTTTTAATTTTGTGTTGTTTTAACAATTGTTGTACCCCGCCCCGATTGCCGTGCAGAGGGGAAGGCTATAAATAAACATTTATTATTATTATTATACTTTATTCCATCTCCCTCAGTAGATGAGATGGAATAATCCTCTCATTTTACCTTCACCATGGGACAACTTAGATTTTAGATAAGACAATTATCTTAATTTTCAAACAGGAATACGCTCTCTGTCGCTCTCTTGCACGCGCACACACACACTTTGTGTGTTTGAACGACAAGCTATGGGCAACCCTGGTTGGTACTCAATGCATAATGCTTACTAACATCATCAGGGCGCATCACATGATCTCAGATTTTGGCTCATAAACCTCAGGGACTGGGATGATCCTGAAATTGCAAACCTATTTTGGAGGGGCAAGTGAAGGCTATGTCACCAACCTGACACACCTAGATATGCCTCAAAATTGCATGGAAGAGTACCTGTTTGACAACTTCATCACAATAGCTTGAACCCCTTTATCATGCAAAGCATGTACGTGAGGAAAATAAAATGTTACCACAAATCACATTGCTTAGCAGAGGTACAGAGCTCTCTAGGGGATGTAGCAAGATAGAGGAATAAATGTCTATTGAAATACCATATATGCATAGTGTCATCGCCACAGAACATTTCTCTTAATAGTAGGATCAAATTAGACACTATAAGGAGCATGTTACTTTCTTCAATTCATCTGTTTTTCCCCACCTGCAACAAGATTTCCTCAAAGATGGTGTGCATTGGCAATCAGATTTGCAAATCAAATTCACCTTAGAATCAACAAACACAAGACCAAGTATGCTCAACACAAGATAAGCAATTGAAGGAAATTGCATACTATAACAAACACATGTATTTCACCAGTTAAAGGATCACATCCTTCTGAAATCATGTTGAGCATATCATCTAGTTTGACCCTCAGAGGATCAGATTAAATTATATAAAATGCTGGTGGTCAATATCTTGCATTTGGTTTTCACCTGTCTTGTTTGTGCATTTTTCTATCAAAGTCACTGGGATCTGGGAACCATAGTACCAACTCTTACAACCCTGGGACAAGCAAGCTGCCACTCATCCATACTGTCTGTTATTGCTAAAAGCACAGAAGCCCTGCCAAGGAAAAGATGGCAACTTTCATGTTGCTATGGAGCATCACCCTCTTTCTCCAGTATCTCCATCACTGTGCCATGCTTTCTTTCTAAAACTTGAGAAATTACTTCATCTGACACCTAAAGGCCAACTAGAAATGATCATTTTGTAAACTTTATTTGTTTGTTATGCAAGTAGCAACCTCAAAAGCCGGTTCCAAACTTCTACTTGTGCCTCAAAGGAACATAGGACCTAACTCCAAGCACTTAGGAAACAAACAGTCAAAATCTAAGATGGATGGAAAATAATCAAGTATCTGAGTTAACTTAATGTCTCCTTGAACCATGACACTTTTGTCTTACTGTAATGGTGAGGGACATGTGGTCCTCCCAATGTTGTTAGACTGTAAGTCCCATCAAACTTAACCAACCTAGACAATGGCTACTGAGAACCGATGGGAACTGCTCCTCAAGAAGATCTAAAGCAAGGGTAGGAATTCTGAGGCCCACCATGACCATGGATTGCAACATCCAGAAGCCTGCTCCAGCAGAGTCAATAATAAAGAATGGCGGAGGCTGCAGTTCAATATTCGAAGGACCTCATAAGTCTTACCTCAGATGTAAAGAGGCTACAAGTTGCCCATCCTTGCCTCATGGAAGTAAGTATTTAATATGAATGAAAACATTGATTGAGTTCCTGGGTAGCACTAGGGATCCCAGAGAGGTTGCCAAGTGAAAATGAGGCAGGGCTCCTCTACAATCTTTAATGTTTATGTGGGAGAGGGAATTTCACCAGGTGGAGTCTGCATGAGGAGCAACACCTGCTGAAACCCATTCTTCTACACAACTATTAAAGGTACAAGAGTCCTGTCCTGTTTTTTACATGACAGCCCTATTTTCCACTTATGCTGTCTTTTTGAGAGTAAGTATTGACACACTAGAACAACTCTTTAACATCCTTTCTTCTATTCACCCAAAGGTCATTGCAATACAATTTTGGCCCTCCCAAATGAGGCCAGAAAAGGACAATAAAACATTAAATTAGGAGAATCCTCTGCCAGCTCCTCTTAAAAGGATACGGTCCTTCTTTCTCTACCTCGACTAAAGGAAGTTGCCAAAAATAACCCTATACACTCTCTTGAGGGATGGATGGTGGTCCAGGGAAAGGAAAGAGGCTATTCGTTACATCACTTAGGCTGTGTCTACACTGCAGAATTAATGCAGTTTGACACTGCTTTAATTGCCAGGGCTCCATGCTATGGAATCCTGAGATTTGCAGTTTGTTGTAGCACCAGTACTCTCTGAGAAGGCTAAATACAGTATCTCGCAAAACCAAACCCCTCAAAATTCTGGAGCATTGAGCCATAGCAGTTAAAGTCATGTCAAACTGCATTATTTCTGCAGTGTAGAAGTTGCCTATATTAGACACATAGACCCTAGCTTGACTTCAGGGAAGATCTAACTCTACTCAGGAAAGTATGTCAAAGGAGAATGGACACAGACATATAACATTTAACAAAGTTTTGTGGATACACATGGTGTTTTTCCATTAACAATTGTCGCAGATACCCAGCAGGTGAAGCCCTCCCCATAATCACATCTACAGGCAAAGTAAAGCAAAGCTTCACCTGTTGGGTTTTTGATTGTCAAATATCTGATAAAGCCACAAGAGTATTGGGGAGAAATAGTTTTTCATGGAAAAAAAAATAAACTTTTCATATCTGCAAAAGACTAGTCATTTGTAACCACTCCATACCTTCTACTCTTGCCATCTTAATCATCCTAAATGTTCCTCTGCACTGTTCAATATCTGCACTTGGAAAGAAAGAAAGGATTCCCTGATGATAGGACAGTCAATTCAGATTGGTATTATATCTATATGTATATATTATATGGAGAGCTCTTGCAGCAGCTTTGAGACTAGCTAAAAGAAAGAAATTGGCAGCATGAGCATTTGTAGACTTTAGGCTCCTTCCTCAGATGCATTTGGACTAAGTTGGTCCAAATGTATCTGAAAAAGTAGATTAAAGCCTATGAAAGCACATGTTGCCAATTTCTTTCTTTAAGTTAGTCACAAAGGTGCTACAAGATTTCTTCAAATACTGATCTTCCAGACTAACAGCGCTATATCTTTGTATATATTATATGTATGTCACATTCACATTTCCTTCAAATGTTTGCCACCATTTGATAAAATCCAGGTTAGGAACTAGTGACCTGCTCCCAAACATTTAATGGCTAAGCAAGAATTTGAACCTAGAACTATTCAGTTCCAGTATAATATTGGTAAATTCAAGTCCAAATAAATCTATTACATGTCTGTTCAATGACGTTTATTCAGAAGGAATCCCAGTTAGCTGAACAGAACTTATGCTGATAAATGGAAATAAAGACATTGGAATGGAAGTAGACCCTTAGGCTAGAATCCTGCACACTACTATTTGGAAGTAGGACCTATTGAAAGCCCTATTGAAATCTCTTTATGGAAAAGCTTCCACTGCAAAACCTATTTGGTTTTAATGAGTGTCATTCCCAAAGACATAGGATTTTCCTTTCAGGTGCTGAACTACTGGCCTATCAGGGCAAACTTCAGGATACAAGCCTAAAGATTTGTCTACTCTGTAGACATAATACAGTTTGATACCGCTTT